AATGGAAAGTACACGTAGCCTAAGATGTCTATCACTGTCTGGGGATAGAAAAAATTATCAGGTCGCATGTTACAGGAGTCCTATATACTAGGTCCTACAGTTATCAGATATCTAGTCGGTTAGAGACAGAGTCACAGAGCCAAGGTTCAGGAAGAACAAGGGAACAGGACATTTAGGTGCGTCATAGTGTCAGCGTATGTGAGAACGGCACTCCCTTTGTTCGCCATTTTAAATATTATTTTTGTATTTTTCTGGGTAATGTTATCTTGGCTTGAATATTTTTTTTAAAGTCTTGTCGCAGGACATATACAATGGGGATAGGTGGTTGAAGGAGGGAGAGGCGGGGGGGGGGGGGGGTGTGGATTAGACCACTTACTGCACTGCCCTAACCTTAACGATGAAAGGGATACGTACTACAAAACTGTGCCGTTATGGCGTAATGTGAGGGGGGGGGGGGACGTGACCAGCTACCCCAGCGGGTGTGGTGCAACACAAACGTCACTTCCTCTTTAAAGCAGGCGTGACACTTGATTCTTTCCTCACCTTACATACTTAGGTCTTTGGTTAAACATTACTTCTTGCTGATCCATTTAGTTTTCTTACATTGTTATATATAATTATAATATTATTGAAGTGAAACCAGGCGCTTGTAAAAGTAATGAAATTGAAGAAACTGGCACTTTTCTGTCCGTTTGCCAATTTTTATCGAATTTTAATTTTTGAGTCAACCGGGAGGAGCGACCCTTTGAGGACCAATTTCTATGTTTGTTGCCTGAGATCTAAGTACACATATAAGTTAGGAATAGTAAAATCTTTTGATACGCAATCTTATTTTGGTATAGCTACAGCGGTTGCTATGGAAACGGTCGCCATCTTGAAAATAAACGATGAATTTCAAATCCCTAAGGCTTTCTTATTTACTGACTAAATGTGACCACGTTTGGTGAGAGTATACCTGCACGAGACCCTATCAGTGTAACAGCGAGGTTTTTATTGTCAATAAGTGCAAAAGAAAATTTTTTTTCCCAAAGTTTAAAAAACCCTTTCTAAATTTCGGTTCCGTAATCGCTTGCCAATGGAAAAGTGTAAATTTTTGCCAATATCTCTTTGTTACATTGATGGTAGCGTTGCCATCTGTGTTTCCTGAAAGTTTCATATCAAAAGGATTAAAACTAAGGAAGGAGTAGAAAAAAAAACTCCAAAAAAAACACATTTTGCGAAAAACGACAATTATTGTGAACATTCACTATATTAACCAACTCTCATGTTTTCAAAATCAATTCACGAGGAGAATAAAGGCTTTCTCAATTGTTTCCAAGTTATTTTTAGACAAAGAAATGGTTTATCTTAAAAAATCAGCCAACATCGCTTTGTGCATAGCCGAGCACAAAATCGGCAATATCAAGGGTCGCTCCTCCCCTGTGTCGATTTTACTGGAAAAAGTTGACTTTAGGCACAAAAATGTTTGTTGCAGTTTCTAAGGACTCTCAAGCTTTGAAAATCGTCAAACTTTCGGCTGCCGTTTTCTCGCTAGTTTTACATCTGAAACTAAGCAACTTCCACCTCCTTCAATCGCAAATATCTTGACTTCTATTTATGATAGATGAGTATTTTTTTTCCGAAAGAAAGGCAATGAACAAGCTTTAAAATGAAACCTCCACATGCCCAAAAACCTACAAGCGCCTGATTTCACTACGTCGTTACACATTTGTATATATAAAGTAGAAATCCCAAGTCTCTCTCAAAACAATTTGGGAAAGCTCGCAAAAGTCAGAGTGCTTCAGCCCTGCCGGGGCCAACCAGAACTTAAAGAAATTATACAACTTCCCAACGGAATGACGGAGATACACGACAACAATCCTCCCTAAAGGGGATATAAACTCGTTTCTCTTGTATGCGAACGCCGAGTGCTTAACTGGTACACCACTGACTCCTGTCCGTTAAGGTTTAGGGTGGGGTGGTGGTGGGGTTTCCTGAGATTGTCCTGGACTAGTGGGGGGGGGGGGGGGGTCACTACACCCTGAATGTCCGGTTTCGGGTCAAAATCATGGATTCTGAGATGTACGCATTTTGGGCTTTTTCAGCCTCTCTTACAATTATTCCATAGCATTAGATCCCACTAAAGCCTAAATTTCTCCCCATGCCGGGCATGCTTCCCGCCACCATGTCCTCATAAAGTCAATCTTCTATTTTTCTTTATCAGCCATTTTCTCAAAACGCGTTGTTTTTTCTCCATATTATACCTTTTTGGATAACTCTACAATTTTTTACCCCTATCTTCATGAAAATTTCTCAGAATGAAGAGAAGATGTTAGAATAAAAATGTGTCTGTTTTTGTATAGAGAATCTTATTTTTGACGGTGGTGTCTCGGGGGGTGGACATTTTCACGTTTTTTAAATTTTCAAAAAATGTTTATTTATTTATTATGTTTGGCAAACTTGAATACTACCTTCGGAAAAAAAATCATTAATTTTTTGTTATTCGTTTAGACAAATGTCAAAAACAAATTTGTAGATTTTTTGTCTGCTAACAGCGTACAAATAACAAACCTATTTCCATGAACAAAAAGTGCGGTATTCATGGCGTAAAACAAGTCAATACAATCCAATATGGCCGACATCACCACAGTAACGACATTTTTTTCCCTCAAATTTGTTTGCGGGTTTTAAGTCTCTTCACTATGCTTGTTACTTGAGCGAAATTTGGTAAAATGTGACCCTTATAAAAATTGAGATAACCTTCAGGTTTAGCATCCCCCCCCCCTCCCTTCCCTTTTACTGAACCAAAAGACAGACAGACAGACAGTCGAAACTTGTCAGAGTGATACTTGATATCAGATTAGCTTTTTTGTTCAGTAGGTTGTTCATAATTACGAGGGGGTTTACGGCGCTCGCAAATACATAAGGTCATATGTGTGTGCTTGGTTTAACTATGAAGGAAAAGAGAAATCTTTAACGTGCGCAACTTGCTCACGGGCCTTCCGAGTTTTTTCGCCCTTGTCCGAGAAGGCTAGGAGTAGATCTTTCCTACCAGAAGATCAGGGGTGTGGCTGAAATACAGCAGTAGGAAGGAGCCAAGGAGTAGCAGTAGAAAGGCTGCAGAAATAGTCCGGAGCCCAGAGGAGGGGCCAAAGGAGGTGAAGGGGTGGCGGAAGAAAGAGAAGACGAACGCTGACGACAGAAAATTGCAAGAGAGCAGGAAAGGAGGTGAAAGGAGACGATTTTAGAAAATAAAATTGTTCGAACCTGGGACCTATGAATGAGAGGCCAAGACCTTAACCTCTAGGCCACGAGAGCCTTCAACTTAACACAGTGCCTTATGGGCAGTTGGGTGGGACATGTGATGAAAATTACACTCCTCACTCTCCACTTACACACTTACTACCACACCCTGACACACTCACACGCGCACGTGCATACACACACACACACACACACACACACACACACACACACACACACACACACACACACACACACACACACACACACACACACACACACACACACACACAGACACACAGGAGCAAATTTTTAGGTCTATATCTATTTCAATTTTCAAGAGCTAGTCTAGAGATTTTTAGATGAGTGTAAAACCGTGAAAAAGAAAGGTTTCACAACCGAATGAAATCAAAATTAGAACAGCCCATAAACAACCACAAAAATTAACAAATAAGGGCGTGAGTCCACCTGTCCGAAGAAAATTGGCTGTTTTAACCCTAAATGTGCGTAATTTTAAAACAAAGTACCTGTAAATTATGGAATCACAGACATTAAGGGGCCTGCCAGTGTCAGTACATGTAATCGGTTTTGGTGGAACGTACGCTCTAACATAACACATTTAAATCCCTATATATATTATTACATGCATATATATTTAGAATCTAATGAAGGTAGGAACATCAAATTAAATGACGTTACACTATACAACATCCCCCCCCCCCTTTTTTTCCCCCAACCCAAAAAAATGATAGATAAACAACACATCAGAACAATAACAAAAAAGAAAAAAATACACACTAACAAATTAATAAAACACCACAAAAGAGGGAAAAATAAAAGTAACTAACGTATTCAACAAAATCAACGTGGTGACAACAAGTGAGAAAGAGACGAAAAGAAGCTAGGTGAACTTTCTTTCAAAAGTAAAGAGGTTTGGTTTCTTTCTTTTTTATTTTTATTGGACTTTTATTCCCCGATTTGGGGACCAAAAAATGCCAAAAAATCGAGCCACGATTGATTGGTCGAGGCCGCGACAAACGCAGATGCTAGTTCTATGTGTCGTTATCATTAACCCTCCGTAGATCTAGATCTAGACAGCACACGAGTGTACACAACACATTAAGTTTAAGAGCAGCACCCTTCATAGGCAACACGTCATATCTATCTCTAGCGAAAAACTGTTTGGAACTGTAGCATTCTTTATAAATATTTACTGCGGACATTTTTTGGACCGATTGAACCATATTGTATACGAACAATCTTTGGTAGGCCTATACTATAATTATAGATCTATATAATATCTGAAATTTGCGGGAAAGGATGTGATTTAAGAGTGTTCGGAGAAATAGTGCCCAGCTTTATTTTCCCGAACGTTCGCAGAAATAGTGCCGGCCATATCAATAACAATAACAATAGTAATAAGTAATAATAATAATAATAATAATAATAATTATTATTATTATTATTATCATTATTATTATGAATAATAAAGATAATAATAATAATAACAATAATAATAATAATAATAATAGTATATAATAATAATAATAATAATAATAATAATAATAATAATAATAATAATAATAATAATAATAATAATAATGATAATAGGTTTCATTTATATATTTGCTCTATCCTATATGAGTATAAGCTCAGAGCCAACAACAGACACAATAACACAAACAGCATCAACAACAACAACAGCAACAACAACAACAACAACAACAGCAACAACAACAACAACAACAACAACAACAACAACAACAACAACAACGTACCTATGAGCAGCAGAAGGAGCTCCAAGACGAACATGGTCTCCGGTACAACGACAAAAAACGGTACGATGGCCTCTTCCTGTCCTCAATTCCTGCAGCTGTATCCAAGGTGCCTCGTCTCCCTTGTCCCTGCTTTTATCTTGTCTCCGCCCACAACAGTTTAACCGGAGAAATAAGACTCAAAGCGCGTGCCTTAATCCGTTGAGTTGAAGGCTAGACACAGTTCTTTGGCCCAGCAGCGGGGAGAAAACCTCAGTTGTTGCGCAATCTACTATAGCAAATACACAGGCCTACCATGCCATGCAGCGTATTACCAGATATTTTAAGAGCCCAACAGATAAAGGAGACCGTGAGACACAGTTCTTTGGACCAGCAGCGGGGAAAAAACCTCAGTTGTTGCGCAATCTACTGGAGCAAATACACAGGCCTACCATGCCATGCAGCGTATTACCAGATATTTTAAGAGCCCAGCAGATAAAGGCGATTGTTACAAACCGTTTGAAATCAAGATAACCCACCCGATCCGATGGGAAATTCGAATATAAAATAAAATGTAACCATTACTCGTTAAGTATCTCCTGATTAGTGAATCAGTGTTGGGACCGAAGTAAATACAACGCATATTACGTATTTTCGGTTCAAAGCTTGAAAACAAACAAAATACAAAACAAAACAAAATCAAAGACTAACCAAAAGTTTCCAGTATTGGCAGTCCATTTCAAAAGACATGTTATTGGCTGTTAGATCTCTACATGTGTGTGTGTGTGTGTGTGTGTGTGTGTGTGTGTTTGTGTGTTTGTGTCTGTGTTTGTGTGTGTGTGTTTGCTTGTGTTTGTTTGTTTATGTGTGCGAGTGTGTGTGCGAGTGTGTGTATGTGTTTGTGTTTGTGTGTTTGCGTGTTTGTGTGTGTGTGTGTGTGTGTGTGTGTGTGTGTGTGTGAGTGGGTGGGTGGGTGTTTGTGTGTGTATGTGTATATATGTATGTGTTTGATTGTTTGTTTGTGTATGTGTGTGAGTGTGTGAGTGTGTTTATGTGTTTGCATGTGTGTTTGTGTTAGTTTGCGTGTGTTTGTGTGCATCTGTGTGAGTGTGTCTGTTTGTCTGTTTGCTTTCACAGTCGCGTGCTTATAGATCAACACCCCCCATCCCCCCCCAAAAAAAAAAAACACAAAAAACCCCATAAAGCCTGAGTTGGCTCATAGTCATGTGAATTCATTTTTTAAAATGTGCTTTCATAGTCTGTGTGGGTGGTTAGAATGAGGAAAAGGAAAGCTGTACTTGTTCATTTTACCTCTGGCTTTCTGCCAGTCTGTGTGCTGTCAGGCATCTCTGAACGGCCGTTATTGTGTCACTGTTACTCTATTTAACTCAAAGAAGCCACTGTGTCTACAATGACCGATAGAATACGTTCTTCTTTCGTTACCAGTGTTGTGTGAGTTTGCTTTAATATTTCAGTCTTCGTGGACGTAAAAGACATAAGATAAGGACAGCGACCACCAGGGGCGAAGGCTGACTTGTCTGACAGAGTAATCAAAGTGAAACGGGACCAGATAATATGGCCTGTAGATATCACACAAGAATCTTACTCGAGGCGGCGACTCTGAGTTGTGAATGAAAACAAATCCGGAATTCATATTGTATGTTCAACCGCCAAAATAATCGGGAAAGTATCTTATTAAATATCAGTTCCAACTAAAATAAAATTTAACTTTAGTTTAGATGTGAATATATAAACACAAAGCAAAGAAGCAGAGATGTCAGTATTAGATCTATATGTTATAGATCTACCAGTGAGTCTAATTCTTTGGTAGAACATGACAATTATCATTTTTTAAATTTCACATTTGGCTGTTTTTGTTAGCCTTTCGCGGCCAGGAGCTGGTGTCATAATCGAGGTCACGATCTGATTATAGGACGGTAAAAAGTCGAGGAAAAAAAAACAAGCACAAGAAGCAGTCAAGAGATTATTAGGAGTTAGTTCCCCTCACATTTGTGAAGTAGACTTGACCAGTGTTAGTTAGCTTACATAATCAGGGCTTGTGATTGATTATAACTGTGGCCCCAAAGGGGTGAACAGGGTATATGTGGCAATGAAACAGCTTTGACTGCTATGCACATGTTCCCTTCAACTCTATTGGTAGACTCTTCCAGCATCAATTTAAGCTTACTTAATCAAAGCTTGTGACTGCTTATGGAGTGGCCCGAGAGGGTTGAGGAGGCTATTTCTGTGGCCGTGAAACCGTTTTGAATGTTAGGCATACTCATTGTTGATTACGAACGTCTTTTTACATTTAATTTTTAAGAGATTTACGTTTATGAATGAATTTGACAGCGACAGTGTTTCAAAATTAGGAAGGGAAGCAGTGATTATTTGATTATATAGACGCTTCGCCCCTGGCGACCACTCAAAGAAGGTTTCTAATATTTGTGTCAGGACGAGGTGAAATCAGACACTTGTCCAATTTCCAGCACTCTAAGTTATATGTCTCATCTAAAAGCTTGTTCATTTGCATATCTTTTGATATGAAAAAAAATATCCTCATATCTTGAACAGAAGTCGAAATATTTACAAATGAAGCCCGTCGGGCGGTGAGGATAACCTGGTTACAGGGGTAAAAGAAGCAAGAAAATGGCAGCCAAACGTTTCGTCACTTCCAAAGCTTGAGAGCCTTCCGAGACTGAAAATGTACATTTCATGTGCCTTATTCAACATTTTCCCAGTAAAAGTCACTCTATAATGTGTTTTATATAGGCATAAAAATTGTTGAGCTAGGAACAAGAATTCGACAAAAATCGTCCACCCTGCAGCCGTAAAAATATACTGATAACTTCGATTTCCTAATTTTGACGAGCGCCTGATTTCACCATGATGCCTCACATTTGATCAACGTTTTTTCCCCCTTAATTAGTTGAAGACGAGAGAGTGGGACGGAATAAATATCTTACTCACAAGTAGACTCAAATTTGAATATTATGCTGACGGGCTGCTACAAATCTGCCTTCCTGAACCAATCCAAAAATGAATGGGAAAAAATAACATTCCAGCAGACAGACAGGGATACTCGACGAAAAGAGTAAAAATGAATAAGAAAAAAAAAAAACAAGAAAAGAAAAAAACAACAACCCCACATCCGTACTTCGGAAACAAACTCTCATCTTCCGTTCGAAACAGTGCAAGACCTTGACAGCCATACCACACAGTCCAGTGTTAATTTTGATGTGGTAATTAAAAGGAAGCTCTGTTTAATTTTTTTTGACGATGTACTACTATGAAACTATCGCAGCTCCCACTTGGCTCGGTCGTTTCGGAGATGGACGCTAAACTCGGAGGCTCCCACCTCATAAATAACCTAACAGTGTTAATAGGTGCGTTAAAACTATACCTGGCGCTCAGCTGACCCTTTGCAATTGCACGCGCCATAAAACCGTACCTCAACAGGAAACAAACCTATACCATTTCACCATTTATTTTATATTACAGCTCATGACCAACGTCACTGGCCCCCGCACATCACAGCTTCCGGTTCATAAATCAATGTTCGAACAATTTGTCGAGTAGCAAAATAATTAATTGGTGATGAGTGAATGACAAGGCAAGCGTTGTCTCGGTGGCTCATTGTATACGGATAGAGTAAGCCACTAAATACGAAAGGGGTTCAATAAATCTTTGGTCTGGGTAGGAAGGAATCATGGTAGAGTAATGAAATTTTGCCAGCTTTTAGGCAATTTCTTAGAAACGCATTTTGCACATTTTGGGGAAAATCTGACAGTAATGAGGCACTATTCATTGTGTTCAATGAAACCTTGTACAAAAACGTCTGAGACAGAGAGAGAGAGAGAGAGAGAGAGAGAGAGAGAGAGAGAGAGAGAGAGGATTACTATAGGATTTGTGCTGTATGCACAGTGCTCTGAGCACTTTGTGGAATTAATGCGCTATATAAATGCAATGTATTATTTATTATTGTCGATTTATTATTTCTTTCCGATATTTTCGGCTGTTTCGTTTTACTAAAACCACGAGGCCAGAAACTTATTAATCAAAATGGTAAGAATATTCGGAGCTGTTATCACGGTATTTAAATACATGTAATCATATTGGAAAACACAGTGATTATTCTCACCCGGGGTGAGGATAAATTAGATATTATTCTCACCCGGGGTGAGAATAATATGTTATACTGTTCTCACCCCGGGTGAGAATAACGACAGCCATTGGAAAAAGGCTGACATGTTGTGGCACTCAACATTTATTGTGCGTCACATTTCTGACAGCTAAGTAGAAAGCAGACAGAACAATATTGTAATTGTAGGGTATCGTTTCGCCGAAAGTCCCAGAGTCCTCGGATTAGGAACTGATAAGACACAACAGATCTGTATATTAAAAAGCAACAACCGCAAAATATGACTGACACCTGAACCCGCAAAATATGACTAACACCTGAACACACACCACGAAATAACAACACAGAATTATTTTATTAAATTTATTTGGCAGAGGAGGATAGCTGAATTGTGACAAATGTTTTAAACAAATTCTGCATATTGTGAAGTGTGGAAAAGTAACGGACAATATAAAAATGTGTAGGCCTACATGTGCCTCAACATTAATTATCTACTACTATACGAACTTGTTGGTACAAAATGTATTACTCTCATCGAACAGAACGTACCTCAAAATTGTATGTACAAACTGTATTATTTTTCATCAACAGAACGTAACTTCATACTTGTATGTACAAAACGTATAATTTTTTCATCAACAGAACGTAACTTCAAACTCGTAGGTACAAAACGTATAATTTTTCATCAACAGAACGTAACTTCAAACTCGTATGTACAAAACGTATAATTTTTCATCAAACAGAACGTAGCTTCATACTTGTATGTACAAAATGTATATTTTTTTTGCCCACCAACCGGCAAGCACCATCAAAATTGCATTGTACACAAGATATAAATGTGAAGTGTGCTGGCAAAATGAGGTACTTCTCGGATTCAGGCCTTCATTAGGGAAATAGATACATCACACTTTTAGGTGAAGTTTTTACAATTTATAAGTATGACATAAAAGGTATGTTATACTTAAAGAATATAGCATCAATAGAAAATCTACAAATTCGACCCTAGTGTCAATTTTTGGCCAATATCTCCATTTGTGGACTACGAGAAGTTACTCATTTTGTCAGCACGTTTCATATATATGTTTCACCAAACAGATAGCAACACCGTTATAATACCTGCCCCCGTGGTTTTATGCGCCCCGCACAATTTAGCAAAATTTGATCATTTTTTTGCATAATTTCTTATTATTTTCCTTCATCATTCTTTGTTAAAATTAACAGAATCGCATAATTTCACTTTTTGGGGGATTCAGTTTGCCTAATTTCATTTTTTTTGTGTGTGCATAAAACCACGGGGACAGTAATACGAAGGAAGCGTACAAAACGTATGATGTTTTCCCCGTACAGCAAACAAAAACAGAACACACAGCCCCCGAGATGGTGAGGCAAATATCACATCCTTAGAGTTGTCACAAATATAACAGGTATAAGGAGAGGGTGGGGAAATAGGATTTTCATATATATATATATATATATATATATATATATATATATATATATATATATATATATATATATATATATATATATATATATATATATATATAACAAAATATATCAGGAGCAAAGTGAATAGTTTTTCCTGCAGTTAATGTATATAACATTTACAGCACCCACAAAAGCTCTGAGCGCTTTACAATACCTTAAAAGCATCCTACCACAAAAAAACGTGCCGTGTATGAACATGCATACTCTCACTCTTTAGATCAACGCTAACATTTTTTGTTACTACCCGTTACGCCATCTGGCGTTTAGGACAGCAGCAAAGGATCTTCAGCTCTGTCTGTTTTGGGCCATCTTGGTCAACGTCCCCCACGAATGATTCCAGGACTTCATTTCAGACTCTACTGTGCGTCTCCAGGTCACTTTGGGTCTGCCCCTCTTGCGATGTCCTTCGGGTGTCCAGTGGAGGGCAATCTTCACAATAGAGTCTGGTTCTCTTCTCAGAACAAGTCCAATCCATCTCCATCTTCTCCTTTTAATTATGGTGGTCATGTCCTCTTGCCTACATTTTCGTAACAGATCTGCGTTGGAAATCTCAACGCTAACACATAAGCAGACATTTATACTATCCCAGTACAACTGAACATGATATTCACAGAACAACACGATCATAAGAGAACTAAGAATAAAAATAACTAACAACGTGTATCAAAACAACATTTCAAGGTCAGTTTTTAAATGAAGTAGGAACTTTGGCATTGACGTTGTATCCCTAAAATATTGCGGGAGAGTTCTAGGTTCTAGATGGATGGGGCTAGCTTAAGAAAGATTATCCCACGGCGGAGTATTTAGAATTTTTTTTATTCTTTTTTTTTTTTACATAATACCTGGTGCCCCCATACGAGACTCGTGCCCTGAAGTTAGAGATCATTTTGAAACATACATCGGAAGGAACGTTTTTGAGTAGCCTCGAGACAAACAAAAGACTTTCCACAGATATGGCACTGAAAGGAATCACAAGCTTTGGTACAGTGTTTTCCCTTGCGAATCTACTACACCACTCCCCCCCCCCCTCAACCTATTGCTCACCCGCACACGCGCACGCACACACGCACACACACAGACACGTACATAATATATACACACATATACCCACACAAATACTTAGAACCAAACAGCAAACACACACATACACACACACATACACACACAGACACACAGAATATACACACACATATACACACACAAATACATAGAAACAAACAGCATACACACACAAAACACACACACACACACGCGCACACACACACACACACACACACACACACCCACACACACACACACACACCCACACACACACATACACCCACACCCACACATACACACACACAGACACCAGGATGGTGTCAGAGCTAGGTATATATATATGTATCAGCTGTATTATATTATGTATGAGTTATATTATAATTATGGAAACAAAATATAACAATATACACAAAGGCACACACAATAACCCCCCCCCCTCCCTCCTTTCCCGTCTTGTAATCACACTGCCTCTTGGACAAACAAAATATGTGTTGCAACGTGGTGAAATAAGGAGCTCGTCAAAATTATGGAAGCATTAAAATTTGTATTTCCTTAAAACTTTTCATGTCCCTCTAAAAAGAAATTCCTACCGCCCGGTGAGGTGCTACAGATTGAAGTGTCTTTAGGCCATTCCCAAAGGGGGGACAGTAACCTGTTCTTATGCTCATTCGAATAGTAAATAAGCTGATTTATCGATGTCATGCTCATAACTGTGCCGGAACTGCAACAGGGAACTGCTGCTTTTTCTTTCCTAATTCTTACTATTGTCATTATTCCTCTACTTCTTTTGTATGTTTGTCACACTGTTGTGACCCACTATTTCCGGGATGCCTTGATAGTCGAAGCAGACTTTGTGCTGTTGAAGCTAGAGAGGTTAGCAGAGTAAACCTGATTCCCCGTTTGGACTTTTCTGTTGACATCCACCCCTTGGTGTTCATATTACGTTACGCACTTATGAGGGCCATAAAACCACTACAAAAAACAAAAGAAATTCCAGTGTTGATTTTACTGAAAATCGTTTTTCAAAGGCATAGAAAATGTGAATTTGCAGTTTCTTGCTTTGCTTCTAACAGAGTTTTGCCACACGACTTTTTAATGCTTTTGAAAATATTTGTATTTACACATTGCCTTTTTAATGCGGGTGTGTAATGGGCTTTTGAATAATTGCACACGCCCATTATAATCTAAGCAACCTCATCTTCTCTTGCGACGACCTCATACTTTTTACAATTCACCAATAGTCTATTTACAGTCTATTCAAGAACGAGATTTCCACAACAGCCTGCCACATGGTGTGTAGAACTCTTATTAGAGCTGAACACGATCACGTAAGAGTGTCTCATTCAAAGATGGAGAAAATCAATGTCGTGAAGTGGATGGCAAACTAGATCTACCTCACGAAAATACGAGGTTCTAATTTCAGTCAGATATCTATTGTTTCACTCTTCTGTTCTTCGTTCTGGGATATTTATTTCCCAGAGTTCTCTGTCCGGGTCGGGAGCAAAGTCTTCGGGGTGGGTGAACTACCACGTCGGTGGCCTAGTGGTTAGGCTACCAGACTCCTAATCGTGAAGTTGGGGATTCGAGCCACGGGCCCGACGTTGTGTCCTTGGGAAAGGCACTTTACATGAATGTTCCTCACTTCACCCAGGTGGGTATGGGTACCCGGCCATAGACAGTGAAAGATCTTGTCAGCATTTTAGTGTTTTAGCGCCTATAAATGGCTGCTTGCACTGTATGTTTCCCAGGAAATTGAGATTGTTTCAGCATGTTCTCAGGTCTGCTGGGGTAATAGTATAGATTGTGAAGCGCATAGAGCGGGGATTTGCGCTGTACAAATGCTATCTATTAGTAGTAGAGCGTATAGCCTAGATGAGTGACTGTCATCATTTTCAGAGACGGCGTCCACTTGTCTCCTTCAAGAGGATAACATGTTCGCTTTGTTCGCCGACAGGTACAGGTATTTCCTTGTGGGGCGTCAAATAATAACTGTCACTACAACACACCATCCAGCACAACGTGCCTACATTAAAAAAATCGATGGCAACAAGGCTAGAGGGCGACCGAAAAAGACCTGGATAGATGGAGTCAGGGAAACCACGTCATCCCCCAGACTCAAGTTCTCCGGCTGGCGACAGAGAGACGTCTCTTTCTTCCCGCGACACCCAAAAGGGTATAAGTGGCGGATAAAAGGAAAAGGAAAGGACTGCGCGGGTGACCCCAGTCGCCCACCAGACTCACCAACTCACCCGCCACTAGAGGGCAATATCACCCAGATTGGCAAGCACCGGTCTAGACAACGGCACTGGTCCAACAGAAAGCCACGACAGTCTGATGCTATGTTTTTTAGGAGATTTCCCGCCCCTTACATCCGGGGTCTCGTAATGTCAGGAGCAATACACTACCTCAGAATTACAAAGTTCTATCTGCTAAGTACCCAGTTTTGAGAAATCTCACGTCAACGATTTATGCTTCACATCATGCATAGCTTTTTCGAATGAAACTCTTTGAATATCTTGATAACGACTCTGAATAAACTTACAATTTTGATAGAGCAGATAGAACATTAGGTTTTTGATCTCATAAAGGTCTTAGTAAGTCAAAACGGCCAAATATGTAGTACTGAGGTAGCGTAGTATACGAGCTATACAACGAGGGGTGAGATGCTACCGTCCACTCCGCTTGTGTTGGACTCTCGTGAGTTGATCTTCGGTTAAGTCGATCTTTCTCTGGGCTCCTAGCACCTCTTCTTCTTCTTCTTGGCAGTAGACACCAGCGGTTAAACTGAACTTCCGATGAGCTGCCTCCTTTTTTTTTCACTCCCCCGACGACATCGACTCATCTGCAGTCTCGTGTATGACGTCAACATCCGGTGAGAGACAGGCTACTGCTCCACTGCGAGCTGGCGTCAAGGTCATGCATTTTGGCTACAGCAGACTTCTGTAGATGCCGCGGAGCTTTTCTCTGACAGCCTGGGTAACTGCCCACCTCTACGTCACTGATGCACGCGTCCAGGTCACCGTCCAGGCCGCTGATTGGCTCCTCGTTCAGCAGGACGCTGTCGCTACTACCAATCTCGCTGAGGGAGCCACGCCCCTTTTTGTTGTCCAGTGACGTCATAGGTTTCACTATAGGGGGTTGACCCTCGGGAGGAAGCTCCACCTCTGAATACGACACGAAGTTGAGAAAGATTGAAGTGATCGTTAGGAAAATTTCTTACCCCCCCCAAAAAAAAAAAAAATTTAAAAAAATA